AAATTATTTAAAAAAAATAAATAAATAAAAAATAAAAAAAAATAAAGAAATGAGTCCCCCCCCCCAAAAAAAACCATTTTCTAATACAAGCTACTCTGTAAATTTATTAGCTAGGTTTTTCATATAGCCTTTGCTCATCCTTTCTTTGACCATCAATATTAAATTATCTAGTATGTGGAATAGCTAAAGCTTCCCATGCATACAGAAAGATCTTAGAAGTTTTATTTAAGAATTTTGGGTGGAGGGGCACATGGGTGGCTCAGTTGGTTAAGCATCTGCCTCCAGCTCAGGTAATGATCCTGGGATCCTGCGATGGAGCCCCACCTCTGGCTCCCTGCTCAGCGGGGAGCCTGCTTCTCCCTCTCCCTCCTGCTCATGCTCTCTCTCTCTTGCTCTAATAAATAAATAAAATCTTAAAAAAGGAAAGAAAAGAATTTTGGGTGGAAATTTTAAGATGTGAGAGGAGTTGCAAAAAAATAATTTATCATTTTATTACATTTACAAATACGAGAGCCTAAATGAAAGAGTGTTTCATCTTAAGATGCTGTATCTATTATCAAAGTGGTATTTATACTGTAATAATAGAATTAGTATTGATATTTAAGAAGAGACTACAAAACCTTGTTTACTAACTAAATTGTAGTAACTCTGGATTAGCTCAAACTAAGTAAGCCAGAACAGCTTTATACCAGTATCCATTTTTGTTTAATTCAACGTTAACTTGAAATTTAAAATCTTTTGATTTTTACTTATTTTAAAAAATCTTTTGTATTAGTTAGACTGGACCCTCAGATCTATGGTAGCCAGACGATATCCTGGAATATACAGCTTTTCATTTTCTCAGGCTGTAGAATCTTTAATAAAAACAGGACAAAAGGAGTAGGACATCTGTTCCTGTAGAAAATAAACAGTCTTAGATATTTTCTCTGTGGTTCCTACCACTGTGACTTTATTATTAAATTCTCATTAAGACAAGGAGACAGAAAAGTTGGCAGAGGAATATGTACAGCTTTTTTGAGATACTTACTCATGGCTATACATACAAAGGTAAAAGCAGAAATATTCAAAGTGCCACGTGATAACAGACTTTATACGATGATTTTAACCTTTTAATGGTGCTTTCACATGATGATTATGGAGGTATAACATTTTATAACCTAGAGAAAGAATGTTTGCAGAGATCATTTTATCATGGAATAGTAGCTCTTGTCACTGACTGTACTGTAAAACTTTCAATGTAGAGTTGTACTGATGCCTGCGTCCTACTCTAGACCAAGCCAAACAGCAATTGCTGAGAGGGAGTCTCAGATCCTTTTTTAAAAAGCTCTTCAGGTGGTTCTAATATGATGCCTCAGTCAAGAACCACTGTGTTAGAAGGGAGCCAAGGAAACCGAAGAGAATATTTCAACTGTAAAATTACAGAGAAAAAGAAGTAATTTTACAAGAAGTGCTCAAATTGTGGGAATTATACCAATTACATTAAATGAACAAAAATCAACTATCATAATTCTAATTGTAACTTTAAACAAAAAAATTAACCAGATTCTAAGAAACAAAAGTGCTCTCAAACTAGTAAATTGGACACTGGGGGCAGAGGAGGAACATACTATCTTCAGACTTCTAAAAAAGTATTTAGGAAAAAGAGGTATTTACTCTCATACACCATTATGCCTATTTTCATAACATCTGAAGATGATATGGAAATCGCAAATCTGAAAATATTGAGATAAAATGTGCAGTAATTCTAGGCATCTGCTTACGAAAATCACTGAACATATTAGAGAAGAGGGTAAGAAGTAGACGTGGTAGATGACACAGGAAGAGCAGTTATGCTCTAGAAACCTTTAACGGAACAGGGAAACGTTAGTTTGGGGCCTGCCTGTTGCCAGACACAGCCAGCCTACTATATCTCTAACCATCTAACCAACATGTGGGATGCCTGATAAAGCCACAGCACCAGGCAAACAAGAGTGCTAACACGGTAAGTGCAAATTGCTAGTGAACCTTAAAAAAATCAGAACCCTGTGAAGGAAAATAAACAATTCTTCTTAGTCTACTAAAAAAAAAAAATGACCGCATTTCTGAAAGAAAAAAATAAGGTACTCAAAGGACAGTAGGAAGCTGGATAACGACAATGCTAGTATAGACCTAGAATACAGTACAAACAAGAATAATTATAATTTCTGAATATAGGTGAACCAATACTTCCTTTGCCACAGAATGCTCCACAAACACGTTATCCAGATGGGTTAATGAAGTCCTTTGCTTAAAGCGCCTAGAGTTTTTCACAAGGAACAAAATGTCATTGTATGATTGATATGTACAGGGAAGAAATGATTTAGAAAAATTTCAAAAATAACTAACAATAATATCAACACTTTTTCTTCAGTTAAGATTAAAAAAAAGAAAAAAGAAAAAAATTCCCACAAGCAAAGGGAAAGCAGATGTGTGAATAAATTCAATTACTAATCCTGAAACTAATGTTTATTTCAAATACTTTTCTCTTCCTCTACTCTCCCTAAGCAAGTTCAAGCAGCAGTATCTTTCCTATCCTAGAGGGAATAATTCTGTTCTAGTTGAAATAGCTACTGTTACAATGAGTAAATACTACACGCAAGGCCTTGTGCTAAGTGCTCTATGTACATTCGCTTAGTCCTCACCTTGACTATGTGCTATTTTTATTTCTATTTTACAGATGAGGAAAAACGTGGGCTTAGAACACACAGCTAGGAGACAGTATAAAGTGGGGATCAAAAGCTAGGTCTGACTCCATAACCTGGGCTGTTACTATAAATTGGAGTAGTATTTTTCTTAGCATTCTTCTCTCGAAAGATTGAAGTTCACATGCAATTGGAATAAATAAGCAGAAAGGGGGCACAGGAAGTGGTGTACAAATACTTTATAATTTATCAAGATAAGAGCACCTGCACTTCTTTTTTAAGACAAGGAAAAAACCCTGCGATAATATAAAACCCCCAACTCTGTTCTGGCCCTATTATTACAAAAAAGGACAAGTTTTTCTTTAACGAGATGGTCAAGCACCACCTACGGGCCACAGTAAATAAATCACTTTGGTTCAGTGGTGGGGAGGGCATTATGCAACACTTCCCAGCACTGCCCTGCCAGGATATTTTACGGCCAAGACTCTTGGGCCCCTCCTCCCCAGCTAGACAGCCTGGCTCCTGCACATTCCCCTCAGGAGATAGGGTGGAAGCACAGAGCTCCATTTTCTAAAGCAAAGAGGGCAGCTGAAAGTCCTGCTCAGCCTCTCTGGGCAACCACAGGCGCCAATAAATCAGCCACAGGCGATTCTCTCATCCCTTTCCTGGCTTGAAGTGGTAGCAAGATACAATGTAAAAGATCACTGACTGGACTTGGGAGATAAGTGATCTAGCCTTGAATTCCACGGCAAGTGACAGCATCACAGAAGCCAGGTAAATCTCTGACTGTTGTTTGTTAACATAGAGACAGTACTACTTCCTTTTTTGTCAAGTACTCAAAATTCATCTATGAAAGTGGCTAGCCACTGCAGGTGCTCAATAAACAGCCAACAGCCCCAGCAGAATCCATCTCCACTAGCTCCAAATAAGACATTAAGGGAAGGGTTGGGCAAAAAGGTATATATAAGCAAGTCATCTGAGGCCCCTCCCTGCTTTGTTGCTGACCATCCCTTTGATGTTCCCCTCTTTCCTGATAACCTTCCAGCCATCAGAACGAATCTATTCCAAGTGCTATCCCAGGATCCTGCTCCCTATTAAGGAACTGATTTCTGATACTGGATAGTTTACCCTTAATCAAAACATCTAGGTTCCTAAAGAGAACTTTGATGCCTTAATCTAAGGAAGCAATCAGTGCTGCAAATGTTGGTTATTCTTACAGAGAGTAGGGCTGAATTTTGGAGGAGTCAGGCTTTGAGCCCCAAAATACATCCTAGCGCAATCTATTCCACCTAAAGATAATGCCAACCCCATTCCTTAAAATACCTGAGCCATCACACAACGGCCAAGCCTTGTTTCTCAATAATCTGAATCAAGCCAACTATAATCACCTCTGGCAGACTGTCTCTACAGTGAGTGGGTTAAACTGGCACTGCGCTCCTGGTGTGCTGGAGACCCCAATAACCAAGGCCTGGAGCCCTGGAGTCCAGTTACTCAAAAAGTGTAGGGCTTCGATCAAGCTACACGTTCGTTAGGCCGGGTGTTTTCATCTGTAAAACAGAGGGATGAACTAGATTTCCTGTAAGGCCCCTTTCAGCTTTAAAATCTGTCATCCTAAAGTGTACTTTACACACTTGACAAACTCCTGTGAGAATCAACAGTTTTGCCAAAAAACTTGAGTCTCAAGAGAATGAATGCCAAATGTAATTTCCTGGGGGGAAATGGGCGTTACTTTATGAAACATGTTAGCTGCTGTCAAATTCCAAGTACAGCGCTAGGTGCTGCCTAAGTAGCTTGATTTCTCAAAATAACGAGTGATAGGGAAGCAGTTAACGATCGGGCAAACTTTAAAAAGAAAAACTGGATTTACTCAGAATGAGATTAATATAATCTGAAAAAAGGAAGAAATGAATTATGGAGGAGGAGGAACTTCCTGCCCTAGAAACGGGGTAATCACAAACGGGGGTGGGGAAGGGAGAGGACAGTGGCTGCAGCGTCTCTCAGTTTGCACCAGGAGACCCGCCCACTTGCGAGAAGGGTTCACGCGGCCGCCCGGGGAACGCCGCGGACCCGTCGGGGGTTCCCGCGCGGGGTCAGGCCCCGGCAGCCGCCTTCTGCGGGCAGCGAAAGGCGGCTCTGGGCATCCTCGGCCCAGTGCTCACTCGCGGGTGCCATTTTCCTCCTGTGCCCTGATTGACATGTCAAACGGACCAAAACACCCCTCTCCCCATCTACTTGCATCTGTCCCGCGACCAGCGCAGCTGCAGGCCGCCGCCCCAGGCGGCTCGCGGCGGGAGGGACTGAGCCCGGAGCAGCCCACAGGGGCCGGGCCGCGTCGCTTACCCAGACGCCGCCGCGGCGGCCAGCCGGCTCCTCCGTGCGGGAGGGGCGGCTCCCGCGCCGCGCACGTCACGCGGCGGCGCCGGTCACGCACCCTGCGGTCCGCTCTCGCGCGGCTTTCCGCGCCGGCCGCCCCGCGATGGGCCCACGTGACCGCGCGCCTGGTAGCCGGGGAACGAGGGGCGCGGGGGCTGAAGTGTGCGTGCGTGCGTGCGTACGTGCGCGCCCGCCCGCCTACTCAAGTGGCCAGGCGGGGTTCGGCCCGCGCTCGGGGTACCTCCGCCACGGTCCTTAGTCGTGACTCTGTAGGCGGAAGCGTGGAGACGAGCCTGAGCGTCACAGGCTCCCCACACACAACCGCGTGACCCGGGGACTTTCCCCAGGGTGTGCAAAAGCACAGCACTGCCTCACTTCGGGGGTGGGGGTGGGGAAGGATGCGCCCGCGTGTTCGCGGGGAGAGGGGTGGGGGCGCGGGGCCAAGGAGGCTGAGCCGCTGGAGCCTGGGAGGGGAGGCGGGCTGGGTGGGGTGGGGCATGGCGGGGGAAGTGACTCAAGGCCAGAGGCGGACAGGCCCATGGCAGGCAGAGTGGGGGGAGCGCGGGGAATGGGCGACCCCGGACCGACTGGCGGCGCACGGGACAGGGCGAGGGTGCCGGCGCCCCCAGAACGCGAGGGACGAACCGAGAGGGAAGGCCTAGCTGCTGAGCCCTCCAGGGCAGGGGTCTGACATCTGGACGGAGTGCGAAAACAGCATCCTGCCCTTGGGGAGTCGGGAGGAGCCCAGTCCGATCCAGCTGTGCAAACAGGAGGAGGAGGAGGTCCCAAGCCTACCCTTGGGAGAGGGGCGAGAGGGGTGGTAAAGCCGCCGCCGCGCCGGCCCCCGCGGTGCGGGTTGCGCCAGCCTCCCCGGAGCCCGACGCAGAAACTTGTTGCAAACAAACAGGCGACCGCGGGTGCCCCTAGCAGCCAGCGGCGGAGTGGGTGGGCGGGCGAGAGGGAGGGGAAGGCTGGCGGACGCCGCAGCGAACTGGTGGGCAGACCCGGAGTCGCCGCGTAAGCGGGGCCGGCTCAGTGCGGTGCGGCAGGCGCGGCTGTGCGGCAGCGGAAGTCCTTTGTTGCAGCACAGTCCCTGGCAGAGCCAGAGCCTCTCCGCGCAGCCCAGCCCGAACGCCGCGCGCCGCCGCCACTGCAGCTCGCGGCCCCTTCGCCTCCGCCCGCCTTTCCCGTGGCTGATTTGCCTTAAACTCCCTAAAACCTCCGCAGCCCCGGTTCCTGCTGCGGCCGGTGAGTATCTGCCAGTTGTGGGGCTATTTGCGCAACTTTGGCCCGGGCGGGAGTACGCGGGCCGCGGGCCTGGCGGAGTGCGGGGCCGGAGCGGTGCCGACCCGTGCGTGGATTCAGAGCGCGGAGGACGCGCCGCGAGGACCCGGCGACGGGCGGCTGCCGGGCCGCCTGCTCGATCCCGCCGTTCGCCGGCGCGCCTGGTCCGGGACGTGCGGCCTCCCTGGGTCGGAGGCGAAGCCCCCGCGGAGACTAGTTCCCAAATTAGTTACCTTCTTTTACCTTTCTTTCTCAGTCTTTATTTTGGGGGGGGGAGGGGTGGGGAGGTGTAGACGGGAGGCGGGAGGACTCGGTTGATTGACGTGCCTAGAGCCCGCTTCTCTCAACTTACAGCTGCGGCTCCTCGGCGGGTGGGAGGGGAAGTGTCCCGGAGCCCGAGGCCGCAGACTTGGGCGCGCTCCGAGGGAGGAGGCGTAAGAGCCGTGCAAATTCTTGCCACGCTCTTTTTCACCCCCTCTTGCCGGCACACACGCTTTTTGTTCAGTAAACAGTAGTGAGTCTCGGGTTTGGGAATTTTCGGTGGAAAAGATGTTTCCTGGGAAGAACGTGCTTTCGAGTCCAGTGGTGGGCGCTTGCTAGAAGTTCTGTTAGTGTTCGGCAAATGTGTTGGGTGTAGATCGGGAGTCGTTACCACTAAAATATGTAGGCTTGGGTCTGAGCTCAGCCACCCTCCCAGTCTTAGGTAAACTAAGCAACGAACGCGTCTGTATGATCTGAAAGGTTGACATGACCTTTTCCAAATTGGGAGCGTCGGGGAGATGTCCATGAAAGTCCTTGATGTTTTCTGGGGACAGTAGGGCATTTGTGTGTGTGTAATAATAACGACTCCAGTCGAGCTTAAACGTGGTGGGTACGCGCAGATTCTCCATTGGCCTGAGTGTATTTCCATGCGGTATGTTTCACTGTCTCAGGGCAGGAAAACTTACAGGAACGATTTTCTCAAACCCAAGGAGTGGTTCCAGGCTTTTTGAGGTGACTTAGAATCAGTTTCATGATTTGAAGTTCAAGGCACTTTGGAGCAGAAATGGTGAAGGATGCAGTTCTCATGTTAACCTCAAAGCAATCACTATCTTCTCCTTTGAAACGAAGAAATTCGATTCTATGAAATTTTGTCAGTGCAAATGGATATGATGGGGAGAATTGGGACAAAAAGATGAAGCTTGAATGATGGCTGGCCATCACAACCTCAAAACTTTTGATTCACTTGCTGGCTATCTAATAAAGTCTCAATAATAACTGAATGGCTTTGGGAGCTAGATGGGGGCTTCCTCATCCTAGAGAAAATTGAATCGTAGTGGACGTGAAACTATTTTCAAAGATCAATAAAGACAGTCTGTAGTAGAGTCTTTAATTAACATCTTATATTCATTTTAAGAGATTTCTCCATTACAACCAAATTTTCAGTGTAGAATAACTCAGGTTGAGTGGCCTTTCCTGAAGCCTTTCTATTCTTCCCATTCTAATGGGATGCCCTACTTTGGGGGAGTAGTGGGGGAGCCCTGGTGCATCATTGTCAGAGAAAAAAGAAACCATATTTAACCAGGACCTTAGCAGGGCATGAGCACAGTTTCAGCCACTTGCTCTTGACCTTGTGTTTTGATTTCACATTAACAGTGCTAAATTTTTGTACTGTTTCTTTATTCTCCTCTTTTGCCAGGCTCTGGAGAAGATAAGTTCATAGAACTTTTTAAGAGTGTCTCTGTGTTCCTTGTAGCACCATTTCCTATCCTAATGTGCAAGAGAAAAGTGCCTGCTTTCAGGCCTCTCCTCCTCCAGCCAGGGAAGTGCTAAGCCTTTGCTATTAATCTCTGGCCCAAAGGGGAGACAACCGTTTGGGATATAAAGGCAGAAAAGTTTCCGTAGATTTTTATTTTTAAGCTGTAATCTGTTGTCTTCCAAAAAAAATTGAGTTGTATTTGAAAAACATCTGCTTGAGAGGTCACTTTGGTCTCTATAGGATGTTTTCTCCTGATACTTTTTTTTTTCTTGTGCTAGTATATTTTACCCTGAAATATTGACATTGTTATATGCTTTTATGTGAACCAATTAAAAGTGATTCATGTATATTCTATTTTTTCCTCAAAATGGAAATACTTATAAAATCCATGCTCTTTGTAAAAATTCAACCTATACTAGAGTACATAAAATACAAAAATGAAAACCATTCTGATTGCCACTTCCCAGAGATAATAACTGTTAGTAGTCAGTACCTTGTTTAAAACAAGAAGAGGCAACATTTGATCATAACTGTGCTGTTGTGTATGCCTCACCCTGCCTAAGGATGGTCTGTGATGATTCATGGCCTTATGTTCTCTATTCCCTATTCAGGTTGGTGAGAATTGACTAGGTGGAGAAAAGGAATGTTTTGCATTGGACTGGTTTAAAATTCTATGATCAAGTAACAGACGTGAGCGTTTAAATATAACAGGATTGCTATTTTAACTTTGTCCTTATGAAGTATTTACCTTGGTGGGCTAGTTCTCACACTTTTTCGGGCTAATGATGATGTCCAGCCTCTGATGGGTTGATTTATACTGGTCAAACTCATTAAAAAAACCCAGAAGCTTCATATTTGTAGAGTTTCATAATTTCATAGTTGGGAGGCAAGGAGTGGCTATATTTGCCATGAAGATATCCCTGTGCTGATACGGGTGTGAAGGCTTCCCCTTGATCAGTATCTAGAGGTAGCATGCCAAACGTCAAGTAAAGAGAATTCGAATGAAGAAGGGGATTAATGACTGTGCAGTTTTTAGATGTGGCATGGGAGGAGACGGCACATATTTCAGATAGATTTCCAACTATACTTACGCTGTGGCTTGTATGGTAACTACAAGAGATCTTTGTCGAAGTACAGAATCATTTATTAGCCTGGCAAGTAAGAAGAATGAGTGTGAAGTGGTTGATGATGTTCTGAAAACAAAGCCCCAAAATAGTACATAGAAGTTTAATCACAGCATTATTTGATGTTCGGGACATGGGTTTTTTTTTTTTTTTTACACTTGCTTTGAGTTTAAAATCATTTTCCAAATAATATTGGAAAATTAAAGAATTAAATCACCAGCCAGATTTTTCTTTTGTTATCTATGTGAGATACACATAATCCTTTTTTCAAGATAACTAAAGAGTTCCATCTCCACTTTACATCTTTTAGTATTAGGGAAGGGCTTGTTCTGATACGCCGCCGTGGGAGTCAGCAGATGGAAGAAGAGATGGGGCGGGGGCAGGGCATTCTGCCTGCAATATGGGGCTCTGTGAGAGTGGGTGACTGGGAGGCTCAGGACGTTCCAAAGCGGCACTTCAGTTAATAGTCATTGCCAGGAAGAGTGTTGTCTGGCTTATAAAAGCTGAAACTCAGGGTTCTGAATCAAGACTCCAGAGTTCAAGTCCCATCTTCTACTTGCAAAATGAGCATTTCAGTGATCAACCACTAAACTTACTCACAAAATGAGGATAATGAAAATACCTGTCTCAGCGTTGTTTTGAGAATCAGTTGTTTAATGTATGGGAAATTGCTTTGTAAATTTTTGACCACTATGTAAAAGTTGCCGTGATTGAAATAATGCAAAAAATTGAGTGCCTGGCAGGCTCATTCGGTGGAGCATGTGACTCTTGATCTCAGAGTCGTGACTTTGAGCCCCTTGGTAGGTTGTAGAGATTACAAGGAAGGAAGGAAGAATTGATAAGCAAAATAAAACACCTATTTCAACATTTATTCTTTCAAAATTGATCAAATATCAACTAAATGCCAAGCAGTTGTTAAAGGCTCTGGGGGATACAGTGATGACTAAGACAATGCCTTGATCTCAAGGAGCTTCCAGCAAAGCAAGGGAGCCACATAATTATAATCCCTGCCAAGAGTGTGGTGATAGACAACATTCAGTTTGGATGATACATTTTTTTGTCATCATGTAGTTGTAGGTAGGGTCTGTTTTGGAAGCACAGA